GCTTGCCAGAACATTTTTGGAACTGACCGCTGATGATTGCATGGATCTTATCGCCGCTTGACTGTCTACGAACAAATTGACCGCCTCATGTGGACGGTTTATGCTCTGCGCAAGCTCTGCTGCTTTCCTGATGGCGAATATTTCCGCCTGGAATATACTGCAGTAGTTTGGTAGCTTATACGACAGCCTCATTTTAGGGTCTGAACAGTATATGCCCGCTCCAACTCCTCCTGCCATCTTGGAGCCGTCGGTGTATATATTGATGTATTGAGCATGGTCCTGGCCTGACTTCCAGTCATTTGGTCCCATGAATACTGTTGTGCTTACATCCGGGCACGTTCTGGGTTTCATGTAGTCAGATGTACTGCTCATGTCTCAACCAACTGAACTGTGCCCGAAACCTTGTGGCGACCAGTTTCCTGATGCAACCAGACGTTGTACCGCATTTCCTGGTTTCAGTTGCGCTAATACAGCAGAGTCGGACGCACCACCGATATGTAGACCCAATGCATTAGAGCGGGTGAGAGGCCCCATGTGCTGCTAAGCATCTTCTTGGATGCATATAGCGCTATGGTGGCCTTTTTAACCCTCTCGACTACATTGGCCTTCCACCTCAGCTTGCTGTCAAGTACAATGCCGAGGTATTTGACTTGTGTTTTCAGGGTCAGCCTGGTTTTGTTAATTTTCGGGGGATCTATTGCGGCACCTTGTATCTCTTGGTGAAGAGAATAAGGTCCGTCTTATCCGCATTGATATTGAGTCTTACCTTCTCCGCACACTCACATATCTCCCTGAGAGTTGTTTCTAAGATCGAGCTGTGGGTCGATCGACAGACTCCCGTGATAATTATGCTTTTGTAATCCGCATAAGCTGTTATCTTTGGTGCTTTCCTCTCGAATCTCTTGATTAGGTCGTTTACCACCAGATTCCATAGAAGGGGCGACAGAACCCCACCTTGCGGCGTGCCTCTGTGCGCTCCTCTTACCATGGAAGCGGTGCCCCAATCTGATTGTACTCGCCGGCAGCTTAGAAGATTCCTTATCCACAAGTTGATAGCGGGGGACGAGTTGGTCGCTTCTAGGCGATCCATTATGGCGCCCGTGCTAACGTTGTTGAATGCCCCGGATATGTCCACGAACACTCCAAGTGCACATACCTTATTGTTTAGGGCTCTCTCAATGGTGGCTACCAACGAATGTAGTGCCATCTCCACTGATTTCCCCTTCGTGTAGGCGTGCTGGTCCTGATGTATAGGTCCAGCAGCTTTTCCAGCGTTTTAAGTAGGAATGAGGTGAGGCATATCGGTCTGTAATCCTTGGGGCTCATGTGGCTGCACTTTCCTGCTTTGGGCAGGAAGACAATCCGAGAGGTCCTCCATTGCTTAAACAAGCTGTATATATTGCGTAGAGCCATGGGGTGATCACTTGGTCGCCTGCAGCATGGCTGGGAATATTCCATTTAGTCATGGTGCTTTTATCCTCGCAAAGGAGTCTATAGCCCAGTGGATTCTACTAGAGGATATTAGATCTTTTGGGAGATGCTCTTTTCCAGTTGCTAGGTCCTGGTGCTTATTTGCATCGGGTACTTCAGTGCATCCTGGGAAATGCGCATGCATTAGTGCTGTTAGGGCCTCTTCGCTGCCCTCAGTCCACTGTCCGTCGTCGCGTTTAAGCTGACTGCTTCGAAAGCAGCTTCCGGAGTCTAGCCGTTTCCGGGGCAGTCTCTATATTGGAGCAGAAGTTTCTCCATGAGTTTCTCTGCGCCTTGCGTATTTCCTTCTTGTAGTCCCTTAGAAGGACTTTGTATTCCTCATTGATGATGTCATCTTTCGCCTGCTTGGCGATTTTGAAGAATCTTTGAGTTTGTTGCGTCGGAGTGAAAGGTCCTTATTCCACCAGGGTGGCCTGGTCCTCTTTCTCGTGTCCGATATAGGGCATGATGCGTGGTACGCATTCAGCAGTTCTTTGGAGAGGGTCTCTAGGGACTTTTCTATGTCTTCCGCCGATTCTACCTTGCCCGGAGAGATCGCGAGCCGTGTCACGATAGTCTCCTTGAACTTTCCCCAGTTAGTATTCCGAGGGTTCTTGAAGACTAATTGTTTTGGAGAGTGTTCGAATGCGTATTGGAACCGTATGTACTTGTGATCTGAGAAGGATGGTCTCTCAAGGACTGTCTATTCTGATACCAAAGTACCTTGTCACCTTACAAGAGTAAGATCTAGAACGTTTGAGGAGGTGGGACCTGCAATGGTGTGTCCCTCCCCCCACGTTTGCTATACTTAGGTTGGTTGAGAGTATAAAGTCTAAGAGATACTCACCTCTGTCGTTTATGTCGGGGCTCCCCAATACGCAGTGGTGCGCGTTGGCGTCTGCACCCATGAGCAGTTGCTGGTTCTTCGGGCTGGCTTCTACCAGGCTTCTGAATTCTTCTGGTGGGGCCGTCCTGTCGTGTGCCATGTAGCAGGAATTTACCAAATTTTTCGCGCTCTCTAGCATCACCACGCCACCAGAGTTGTAATGAGACATAAGGTTGACGGGTAGACCCTTTCGTACAAGTACGGCGGTTCTATTCCTGCTTACCGTTGGTGGATGGAGCAAATTGTAATTTGCGGACTTCAGTCCGAGGGTTTAGCATTCGTAATTTCAGGACGTGAGGTCTCAGTCGGCTTCGATTTAATAAAAATCAAAGGCGTGACTGTAGCCAAGAACAACAAAAAGAACATGTCAATAGACAATTAGTAGCTGTGGTTACGATCGTTTCGTTGGCGCTACCCTACTCATCAGACCACTTGCTAACTATTGCTAATTTTCGTGGTACTTTACCTTCAATCTAAACTTAGACCGGTTAGGAATCCTAAGCTTCGGTGTAAAGGCAAAAGCATACCACGAAAATCGGCAATAGTTCTTTTCGTTGTTTTTGAACCAGTTGTTTGGCATGCAGTCTGTCAGACTTGTCAGAGGCCAAGCTTAAAAGCTTATACGTATGGTAGTAACTGAGAATTTTTACGCATGTGCAACATTGATCTTTGGTGTACATTAAGGGATACGATTACATTGGTACATAAATGCATTAAAAACAAAGGCTCCGCAGTTGAGATGAATAAACTTAAGAATTGTATTAGTTACATTAACAACAAAAAATATTGCGTATTTCAATCCAATCCAATTATAAATGTATTTTATGCACCACCAGTGTTTCTACGGTGCCATGTGAACTATAGGCTATAGTCCTCTGACTTAGACTAAATTATGGCCGCGGCTTCATACAAGCTAGTGCAACGTAACAATCATACACAAAAAAAATCTTAAAAAATCATTTAACGAAAATAAAATGCCAGAATTCCCGCAAATGACTTTTGAAAAAAGCCAGATTTGGCAGGAAAAAGCGAAGCAGTGCCAAGAACTGCTAGGGTTGAATGACTTGTTAGCACTGGGTTTTATAGTTTGGTAGTTGTTTATTAATTAATATATAAGGACGGTGATACACTATGGATAATACATACAAGCACGTGCTTGTTCGTGTTGCTAAGGAAATAAAAGAAAAGAATGCGAAGCAATTCTACTGGCGTGCTGCCTGATTGATTGCTTGCATGCATACTGAGTGGGCTAATATTAAAGTTTTTAGTTTACGAAGGCTATCTACGCTAAAGCCGCGTGAAGTGAAAAGTAAAAAGTTCTTTTAAATCGATTTGACGCGTTTACTGTAGACGGAATACTGAGGGCTCCAAACGTGAAATCCATATTCTAAGATAGGAGAAACTAGAGAAGTATATAGAGAGGGGGTCATTGATTTCTTATGACCACCGTTTATTCACCATACACGAAATAACATCGATAAAGTCAAGTTAAAGATCCAGGCGAACTCCCATACCATCAACTTTAGAGCAGCAGTTCAGCATATAAGTCGATAGCTTCAGAACGACACGAAAGAATGTTATTAGCTTTTATTTAGAGCCGTATAATTTAAATAAGCTTACGTGGCACCATGTCTGAAAAGTATTAAGATCTGATTGTAAGTCTGACTGGCAAGCAGCGTCCTTGTATTGCACACAAAGTTTAACGTCATAAAAGGTGATTACATTTTCGAAAAGTTTTGTGATGCTGGTACCCGTCGGGAATCTTGTAACGTTGGGAGGGCAAAAGCAAACCTCGAAAATCGGTAATAGTAAATATGCCAGGTTTGCTTTTGCCGAAGTAAACTTCCTTTCGTGTTTTAGTTATTGATGACCTTCCCCTAATAAATACAACAACTTACAATTTGGAACTCAATTCCATCTTAATGAATAATTTTTTAAATTAATACTCCGCTGGGTATTATTTTAGTTTGCAATCAGCAACAACAACCGAGATATGCCCGTCAGTCCGTCTATGCTTCCGTCTCTTCGTCCGGGTGTCCATTTCTATGTAAATTAATCTCTCTCGGACGTACAAGATTAAAAATGTGTGTAATTTAATTCCGATTTTGCTGTCTGCGAGTATTCAGGGCATTTTCGTAGCAGGTTTTCTGGGCAGGATTAGCCGCGACAGTGCCGTCTGCGAGTATTCCGGGCCCGTGCACAATAGTTTGTACCCTCAGTGTCAGCTACGATAGTGCCGCCTGTGCGTATCCATGCGTGTTCATAGAATTTTCACAGTAGGATTAGCTGCGACAGTGCCGTCTGCGAGTACTCCGGACCCGGGCGAAATGTTTTTTACCCTCAGTGTTAGTTACAGTCAGGTCGCCTGTGCGTATCCCAACATTCTCATAGAGTTTTCACTATAAGTGCCCGGGTGGCCGCCGGTACATGACTCGGTGAACCGAGTAAGAATTTACCACATACAACATTATGATACCCCTCCTCAACTGTCTCAAAGATACAAAATTTTATCTCATGAGGATCCTGGGCGGACTGAGACGCCGCATCATTACAATATTTATTTTTACCGTTTACACATTTAATTAAAATAACATCATTGAGCATATATGGCTAACGTAAAAGAACCTTTTCAGTTAATACTTACTCTACGTCCCGCTTCATTATTATGCAAGTTCATTAGGCTTCTTGCCTTCGCAGTGGTACGAACTTGAATTCCAACGTTATCATTTTCTTTGGCATTACTGATAAACCGATTTATTGGTAATACTGGTTCATCTATTACAGCACGTTGATTTTTTCGCTTTCCCTTACGGCGTTGCTCGACAATGTCTCCGTTAAAAAATTTTGAATTTATAATTTCTCTATTAATTTTATCCTGCAATAAAAAGAGGATTATTTAATATGTGTTATAAAATAACATTTAGTTTTGAAAATATCAAAAACCATTATAAACATTTATGTAAACATACATAAGTATGTATCCAAAAGGTAACCTGAAGATAAAAATTGCAATCTTTAAGTATTAATAAAGGCTTCACCACCAGGATTTACAGCCATCACAATCCGAAAGAGGATTATTACTAGATGCTAAATACAAGTTCAAATTCCGACTTACTAAACCTAAATCAGAAGCCTATTTAATTTGTAAAATATATGATTAATTTGGACCATATGCAGGATACTGTAAATCATTGCTGAAGAGAGTCCACGCAATGCATCCACACCAGCGAGGAGATGTTGAAGTCGCCAAAAACAAAGATGAACCACAAGTCATCCAGATCATTGCTAATATGGGCAATATTATCCACATGGGCCGTATAAAATTCGAATATGAAAGCACTGCGCGTCAAACTTCGAGCCAACGAACGGTGATGCAATGCTTCGTTTCAGTGCTTCAAGCTCAAACATTGGGTGCTTGCATATCTGTGAATCCGACGCCCCCTCGCAGCGGAGAGTTTTTACGACTCGGAGCAATTCGATTATGATGGCCTTTCCCCTTTTATTTTAAAATGTTGTATTGGCGATCTGTCTAAGCCATTTAAAATCAACTTTAATAAACCTCTCCCCAGTGGTGTATTTATTCAGGGATGGTGCTAAAATTATAGTCTCTAACTACAGACCAATTTCAAAGCTTAGCAATGTCTCGAAGATATTTGAGGAAGTTGTAGCTAAGCACCTCGCACTCCTTATTGGTAGCACTATTAGCTCCAACCAGCATTGTTTTATGCCTGGGCGGTCGACTACCACAAACTTGGCTGTATTGTACCATTTTTGGATTAATGTCTTTTTGAATCATAGCCAAGTGGATGTTGTATACACTAATTTGATCAAAGCATTCGACAAAGTAAGCCACAACATACTACTACTACTATTGGCTAAGCTAAAAAATGGGCTTCAACTCATCAATGCTTATATAGCAACTTCTGGCCTTCCTCAGGAGAGTGCCTTGGGCCCATTTCTTTTTATTCTTTTCATGAACGATATAAGCTAATGCTTTACGAATTCTGAATTTATTTTGTTTGCTGATGATTTAAAAATATTGAAGTCAGTGAATTCAGCTCTGGATAGCGCTAAGCTCCAGAATGATTTGTATTGGAATTGGCGGTCTCTTAATAAGCTGCCTTTGAACCTTGCTCAATGCTTCTCTGTTATGTACAGCAAACGCTAGGTTTTATGTTTCCCTATCTTGTGTGCATGAAGCCTAAGATTTGGGTGTAATGTTTGATGCCAAATTTCTTTTTATTGAGCACATTAATTATACAGTTCCCAAAGCGTATGCAATGTATGGTTTTATAAGGCGTAATGTGGTTCAATTTTCTGACCCTTACACCTTTATTCGTCTTCGTTTGAGGATAGAAGAATTGTATCTGCCATAATTGACTGACCCGCATTGTTAAGCTATGTTAATATTTGTGTTCCGGCTAGGAACATAAGATGATCTTTTGAACCGTTTTCGATTCCAATTTGCAGAAAAAACTATGCCCCAAATGAGCCCATTACTACTGCTTTAATTTACTTTAATAAATGGCCGCCAAATATGCGATTGGATCCAACTTCCCGAAGACATAAGAAAACATTGTTCCTTTATTTAGCCTCAATTTCTATTAATTATTGTCAAAATAAATTAATAAATAAATAATTTCAAAATTGTAAGGCATTAGCACGCAACAGCTCAGAAATTCCATCTTTCGAAAAAAACAATTCAAGCACTGATTTCAGCAAAAATTGATTAATGTATTACGCAATAATTGATCCTAATAATGTATTTGTTTTGACTTAAATATATAAAGTTTTTTATTTATCAACTAAATTCATTGGAAAGAGCAGCAGTTTAGCATATAAATCGTAAGCTATGGAACCACACGAGATAACGCCATTGGCATTCATTTAGAGCCGTATAAGTTTAATAAGTTTTGTGGCACCATGTCTGGAAATTATTAAGATATAATTGTAAGTCTGACTGGCAAGCAGCGTCCTTATATTGCACAAAGTTTGACGTCGCACTGTAGCGCCTCTCGAACAAAAGCCGTTGCAAAAATAGGAAAATTCATAATCATAGAATCGACTTTTACCATACAAATCCGACCCAATTCATTATTTTCACGTTTTCTGGCTAAAGTAGTCTATAACTTTTGAAGCTACCCAGAGCCGGCAACTACACTATGACTAGGCCTGCGTGTATTTTTACTAATCCAGAATTTTTTTTTTTCATCGGCTGCGTTCAGCTGTGACTCTGCCAATGCGAAGCAAATAACCGAAAAACCTCAGGGTAAAAACTAAACGAATATTTCAAAAAGTACACAAACTGCAACTGTAAATGAGGACCTATTCAACACGTTGGCTGCACCTTCTGACCCGTTTATTTAATTTTCGAGGCACGAAAAGTCTCGAAAAGAAATAACATCAAATGATTATAGTTCAAAAATGCTTAGTTTATAGACATAAAAATATAAGCATTTATTAATAAGTAGTCAAAATGAAAAAAAACAAGAAAGGAAGCTAGCTTCGGCACGCCGAAGTTTGTATACCCTTGCAGATATTATTTCATTACATTTTACCTATACTTATTATGTTTACAGTTTGACCGTTACAGTTTTGCATTCCCAGCTTTACATTTTCTCTACATCTACCGATCGTTTATATGGCAGCTATATGATATATATATATATATATTTGTCTGATTTTTATGAAATTTATACCAAAATTCTAGAATAATAAAATAAGCTTATATCCCGGAGTAGATGAAAAAACGTTGGAAAACAAGGAAGTAATAATTTTTTTTCCTAATAATTTCCCGATAGTTCCTATGGCAGCTATATCATATAGTCGTCCAATTTTCATAAAATTTTTACCAAAATTCTGAAATAATATAAAATGGCCATATCTAAAAAATTATGCAAAATGTTTAAAAACAGCAAAGTTATAATTATTTTTCTAAAAATTTATCCAACATTTGTATGGCAGCTATATGATATAGTCGTCCAATCCGGCCCGTTCCGACATATATAGCAGTGAGAGTATATAGAAGACTATATAGAAGATATGCAAAGTTTCATTCAGATAGCTTTAAAACTGAGGGACTAGTTTGCGTAGAAACAGACAGTCGGACAGACGGACATGGCTAGATCGACTCGGCTGTTGATGCTGATCAAAAATCTATATACTTTATAGGGTCGGAAACGTCTCCTTCACTGCATTGCAAACTTCTGACTGAAATTATAATATAATAATATATAATATAATTCTGTTCAAAATATTTTTATTTGTAAAAATGAACAAAAATAAAGCAAAAAGATTAAAAACCTTTTGTTTTTAAAAATTCGTTTTCATAGGAATAAATTTATTTTTTCAGTTTTATACCCTATAAATAGGCGAATTTGTGGGCGTGGCACATTATGCAGTATGTACATTTAAAAATTTAACAACAAAAACCATAATTTCTTTTTCTTATTTACAATAATAAAGGCTCAATATCTTAACAACATTGTGTCGAAGTTTTACATCGGAACCCACGATAACTCAAAATCTACCGAACCGATCGGTTTAAAATTTGTTACATAAAATCTTTAATTTATTCTACTACATGTACTTACCACAATTTTTTTGTATTGAATTATATTATTTATTTAACAAATAAATTCAATTTTGACACCCAATGTTGATAAAAAAAATCGGGGAAAAAAATAAAATCGTTATGTTAGTACCTCGGAACACGTATCCCTAAACAAATGAAATATGACATATTTTTTGATATCGGATAATTCTGCAAATGGACGGCGCAAAAAAACTTGTTGTGGAGGAACTCAGGAGATTCCATATAACTCTGAGACCGGAAAATACTTTTTAATACAAAATTAAACAAACAAAAATTTGAAACGTTTTGTTACTGTTTGTTACTACCCGATTCTTTATCATTCGGGATGAAGAAATTGAAAAATTTCAACTTATGGAAGGCTTAATTTATGACCTTGTTCTATAGTAGAGGGTAGCAAAGTTAAGTGTTCATTCTGCGTTCTCGTATTTTCTTTGATATCAATAGGTTACTAACATTAGTTTAAATAGACTTTAAATTATTTTCTCACCTTTAATTCCAGCATTTCACTTTCCTTTAATTTCGAATTAAATATTTCCTTGGTAATACGCTGCTGAAGCTCTAAAAGGTCCTGGTGTGTGCTTGAACTTTTGCTATTATTCTTGAGTGGAATATCTTTTAGTTTGTTGCTCTGTGTTTGTTGTAAATCTTTTTCACTTTTTTTTATTTCTATGTTAAAATCTTCAGATATTTTTGTATCGTCAGCCTGCATTCGAATTTTTTTAATTCCTTCGCGTGCTCGATTTCGATTAACTCCACGAGTTTCTCGATTAGCTTCCTTTTCACGAACATCTATAAAGTCCGTTGCAAATCTGTTTAAAAAGAAATTAAAATATTATTTTACAATAATTATTTATCTGTATAACTTTACTTGAATCGTAGCAGCACTTTCAGAAAAACAAATGTTTACAATAACACAAAGAAGAAGTGTTTTGCTGTGCAAGATTACGCAAATCAACCTACATATGTTACAGCGTGGCACTAAAGTCACGATACAGCAGACGAATTTACTTATCATAACAAATACCCCCTTATTTAAATATAAACAAATATAAGAAAGGAAGCTAATTTCGGCACGCCTAAGTTTGTTCCTATGTAACTATGTATATGATATAAATGCATAGGAACGATTTTCATAAAATTTTTACCAAAATTCTGAAATAATAAAAGAAGCTCATTTCTAAAAGTAGATAAGAATATGTTGAAAAACAACGAAGTTATAATTATTTTTTATTTTCCTATTCATTCTCCGATCTTTCCCATGGCAGCCATAAGATATAGTCGTCCGATTTTCATAAAATTTTTACCAAAATTCTGGAATAATATAAAATAGCCATATCCCAAAAATGATGCAAAAATGTTGAAAAACAGCAAAGTTATACTTTTTTTTATAAATATTTATCGAACATTTGTATGACAGCTATATGATATAGTCGTCCGATCCGGCCCGTTCCGACATATATAGCAGTGAGAGTATATAGAAGACTATATAGAAGATATGCAAAGTTTCATTCAGATAGCTTTAAAACTGAGGGACTAGTTTGCGTAGAAACCGACAGACGGACAGACAGACGTTGATGCTGATCAAGAATATATATACTTTATAGGGTCGGAAACGTCTCCTTCACTGCGTTGCAAACTTCTGACTGAAATTATAATTTCATCTACTCTTTTTATTATCTTAGAATTTTGGTATAAATTTCATAAAAATAGGAAAACTATATCATATAGCTACCATAGGAGCGATCGGTAGATGTGGAGAAAATGTAAAGCTGTGAATGTAAAACTGTAATAGACACATTCATAAACTGTAACCCAATCCAAAAAAAGGGGAAATGGGTTAGGGCTTGCACAGGTAAATCGCTACCTGACAGGTGTCCATTTTTTTCACTTATTCCTAGCTAAGGTTAGGTTAGGTTAGACCGGAAGGCCCTCGAGGGGCCACACATAGGCCAATATGGCCCATAGCTATTCAGGGAAACTCCTGGATGGACCTAGAGACTATTTATGCGGGTTTCGAGATCCTTGAATATCAGCTGAACCTGAATCACTGCAGGGCAGCGCATGATCTGCTGATGCAGACAGTGCGCGACCTGGACGCGGATGTGGCGGTGCTCAGCGAGCCATACAAGGCTGCAAGCACACATGGTTGGGCCATGGACCGGACTGGCAAAGCTGCGCTGTGGATGTGTGGGCGGGAACCCGCTCACATGTCCGACGTCAGATCGGCGGATGGCTTCGTTCGCGGTAGAGTAGGCGGGGTGTGGGTGTACAGCTGCTACCTGGCACCAAGCCTCACCCTAGAGGCCTTCAGCAGCATCATCGACGAGCTCAGCGATGACATCCGGGGACGGAGCAACACACTAGTGGGCGGCGACTTCAACGCTTGGGCTCAGGATTGGGGGTCGCCCTCAACCAACGCCAGAGGCCGCATCATCCTGGAGGCCTTCGCCTCCCTAGATATCGCTTTGCTCAACGAGGGTACCCAGCATACCTTCAACAGAGCGGGAGCAGGGTCCGTTATAGACCTCACTTACGGTAGCAGTGCACTAGCATGCCTAGCCAGGTGGAGGATCAGCGAGATCTATACAGCCAGCGATCATGAGGCCATCCTCGTCTCCCTCGGCGAGAACTCACCGAGCAGAACTATCCCGCCCAGTGCAAATAAGGCGTTCCGGCAGGACACGCTCAACGCCCAAGTGTTCACGAGCGCCTTAGCGGGCCTAGCGACAGACGAGACGGACAGCTCCAACGATGCTACGCTCAAACTGGCGGTCGCTGTCGAGCGTGCATGCAAGGCAAGCATGCAGCAGCGGAAAACTTTCCGGAAGCACCACTCGCCCGTTTACTGGTGGAACGACGACATTGCCACCTTACGCTCATCTTGCCTCCGAGCTAGGAGGATCGTCCAGAGAGCGCGCGGCTCTCCGAACCTTCTAGCCCGAAGCGAGGAGTACAAGACCGCAAGGTCCGCCCTGAAGAACGCGATTAGGACCAGCAAGAGAGAGTGCTTCCTTAAGCTCTGCGACGACGTCGAGAAGGACCCATGGGGCGGGGCTTATAAAAAGGTGGTGAAGCGCGTGAACGCCGGCAGCAAAGCCCCTTCGGACCCGGAGGCCCTTGAAGGAATAGTTAGGGTGCTTTTCCCAACTGGACAGCCGCTGTACTACCCAGTGAGCAGTGACTCTTGGGAGATATGCCCGGTTTCGGAACAGGAGATTCTAGAGTCTGCGAGGACCCTAAATAATAAGAAGGCACCACGGCTATCTAGTGACTCCCTGCTTACCAGTACATTTTTGGAACTGACCGCTGATGATTGCATGGATCTTATCGCCGCTTGACTGTCTACGAACAAATTGACCGCCTCATGTGGACGGTTTATGCTCTGCGCAAGCTCTGCTGCTTTCCTGATGGCGAATATTTCCGCCTGGAATATACTGCAGTAGTTTGGTAGCTTATACGATAGCCTCATTTTAGGGTCTGAACAGTATATGCCCGCTCCAACTCCTCCTGCCATCTTGGAGCCGTCGGTGTATATATTGATGTATTGAGCATGGTCCTGGCCTGACTTCCAGTCATTTGGTCCCATGAATACTGTTGTGTTTACATCCGGGCACGTTCTGGGTTTCATGTAGTCAGATGTACTGCTCATGTCTCAACCAACTGAACTGTGCCCGAAACCTTGTGGCGACCAGTTTCCTGATGCAACCAGACGTTGTACCGCATTTCCTGGTTTCAGTTGCGCTAATACAGCAGAGTCGGACGCACCACCGATATGTAGACCCAATGCATTAGAGCGGGTGAGAGGCCCCATGTGCTGCTAAGCATCTTCTTGGATGCATATAGCGCTATGGTGGCCTTTTTAACCCTCTCGACTACATTGGCCTTCCACGTCAGCTTGCTGTCAAGTACAATGCCGAGGTATTTGACTTGTGTTTTCAGGGTCAGCCTGGTTTTGTTAATTTTCGGGGGGATCTATTGCGGCACCTTGTATCTCTTGGTGAAGAGAATAAGGTCCGTCTTATCCGCATTGATATTGAGTCTTACCTTCTCCGCACACTCACATATCTCCCTGAGAGTTGTTTCTAAGATCGATCTGAGGGTCGATGGACAGGCTCCCGTGATAATGTCGTCCGCATAAGCTGTTATCTTTGGTGCTTTCCTCTCGAATCTCTTGATTAGGCGTGCCCCTGTGCGCTCCCCTTACCATGGAAGCGGTGCCCAAATCTGATTGTACCCGCCGGCAACTTTGAAGATTTTTTATCCCCAAGTTGATAGCGGGGGACGAGTTGGTCGCTTCTAGGCGATCCATTATTGCGTCCGTGCTAACGTTGTTGAATGCCCCGGATATGTCCACGAACACTCCAAGTGCATATTCCTTATTGTTTAGGGCTCTCTCAATGGTGGCTACCAACGAATGTAGTGCCATCTCCACTGATTTCTCCTTCGTGTAGGCATGCTGGTTGGTCGACAGTTGACTCCCTACATCGTTCCTGATGTATAGGTCCAGCAGCTTTTCAAGCGTTTTAAGTAGGAATGAGGTAAGGCATATCGGTCTGTAATCCTTGGGGCTCATGTGGCTGCACTTTCCTGCTTTAGGCAGGAAGACAATCCGAGAGGTCCTCCATTGGATATGGATATAGCCGTGCTTAAACAAGCTGTATATATTGCGTAGAGCCATGGGGTGATCACTTCCTTGGTCGCCTGCAGCATGGCTAGGATGAATACAACAACTCCGGCAAAAGTTGTTGTTCCAAAGGGAGCGAAAGCTCCAGCCTTTGGTGAATGTTGTTGTTGTCGTTGCATTGTGAACTGCGCAGTGAACGACGAGTGCAGGTGAAGAGGGTGGTGAAGATGCCGCGGTGACTTTGGCCTAAGCCAGAGCGCCCGGTTACAGCCAGAATGCGGAAGATAAACCGAGAGACGCCTCTGACGTCGATCACTGGAGACTTTTTAGCTACAGAGTTGGGGTTGAAAATCTTAAGGGTCTAGCAAGCTCGATAATAGTGCCTTCCGCTATCTATAAGCAACATTTTGTTGGCAAAATTTATATAACAAATAGTTTGTTACTTAAAGAATATACTGTGTAAGTTTCATTATCGAATTCCAACTCTAAGTACCTCAAATCAAGTATGCACGAAAGGTATAAACGTCTTTTTCTCAGCTTATAACGATTCACAAAAAACTATGTATCGGAGTGATTCAAAAATCAAATCATTATGATCAACATGAAATGAAATTAACTTCTATTTGAACCTAAATGAGGGTAATACAAATTAGTAGTACTATTTTTTAAAGAGGGTAAAAAGTGAAATTTGATTTCCTAAAAATAGAATTTGATGCATTGAATTTTTTTATCATAATTTCTGTTTGGGTTTTTAGGTTTAAATATAAGGTAAAGTTGTAATGAACACAGATATTTTATTTTTTCCATAGGTCCGCCATTAAAATATTGTATATAACAAATTTTGTTTATCATCTCTGATTCTCCCTTTAACTATCTCTAAAATTTCACGAAGATTGCTTGACTATTTCCTACATTAAAAATGCACGAAAAATGCCTAAATTTTAACCGTTTACATGTATATCCCCCCCTTAACATCGCCGCCAGCGCAACTCCAACGACCGCTTTGTTTTTGTTGTTGTTGTTCTTCTTTTTTTTCTGTTTTGAACTGTGATAGTCATCTCTGACAGCATTCGGGGTCACGGAGCTTGAGACTGGATCAACGATAAAGGGAAAGCAGCAGCATATGATATGATACCGTCGCCTCGGCAGATTGCGGTTGACGAGGCCTCACAGTGGCGTTGCTTATTTGTTGTTGTACATCACCGTTGCTAAAAAAAGCTTCAGAAAACATAGGTAGTTTAGATTCTGGTACAAGAACTCCAGAGTCTTAATTTTGGAATCGAGTTAATCAATTTTTGATTGGAAATCGTTGGCAACAATACTGCCTTCGCAATGCCACAAGATATTGCCAGAAGAACGCTTTAAAGGCAAGAGATGAATAAACTAAATATCACAAGAACGAATATAGTCTTTTACACCCTTGGATAATCCTGGGCAAAACAAATTAAGCCATTTCAGCATGCATTTCAGCATGACCTGAACTGACAGTACAGTGTGTAAGGGATTTGGCCCGAAGGCTTTAAGGTAGCCAGAGTTTTTACGAATGTTTTTCTTGTGCCTCATTTCCTCAGCGTGCTCTGTGCAAAAATAGATATACTAACTTGATATCTGCTGATTTGTTATCACTTTATTTGCTTTTTTTGTGCAGCTAAAGAAACCTCTAAAACGCCTTAACTTAAAGGTCAATCAGTGGGCCCATATATAGCTCTCCATTTTCGCTGCCATAATGTCTGGATAAGGCAACCGGAACATCATGGTCATTTCCCTTCCTGTGCAAAAAGGAAAATTTCGATTGCTGCAATCGAAATAATTATTACTTAAGTCTGCTTAAGACATTTTGTTGACTCATTAGTCAAAGTAGGCTAGAATAGTCAAAACCACTTCGAACTCTTGAAGCTCTAGGTAGCAACGAAATTTCTCAATGGCTAACACGGCTGCTGGACATTCTTGTTGACTAACGCTTTAATTGCGTTGATCTCTACTTAGCTTTCTAGATATATTTAAATTCAATGAGCTTTTTCGCTTTGTCATCGACAACTGATCTAATATGGCGCGTATACCAATATAGCTGGCATCGCAATGAAGATTCAATGGAGTTATTGAAATAGGCTTGAAGTCGAAACATATTTTAGTTCGTCTATAGCTATTTGGGCTTCGGAGGTCCATTCCAATTAAAATTTTGTTGACATATCTGTGATTGGGCAAATTATGTTAGATCGGAAAAGTTATGGATAAAACCAACCACAAACTCCTTAAAATTCGCGTACCTTGTTTAAGTTCTTTGGCGATGGCCAATTTACGATACAGGGTCAGTGCAAATGCCACTACTACCTATGTACTACCAGTACCAACTACAAACTCTTAAAAATCCTTGTACTTGTTTGAAGTTCTTTGGCGATGAAGAATATTAAGTATCGAATAGCAATGTAATGAAAAATAGTACTCCCAATCAATTCAATACTTGTGTCATATGTGAGTTTTAAGTTGAAGGTTTTTTTTACTTACTTATAGGCATATTCCAGATTGTCGCCACATCCGCCCCAAGACCAATCGTCATGAAGTTGTTTTGGCCGAGTGCCACGAGAACAGCCACAAGAAGCTAATTGGCCATCCCTACAGGCACGTGCTATGAAACTGGTCACTGTTGCGGCGGCAAGAGCGTGAATAAATGCCATTTCAGGTGCCGCTGAAATGAAGAAATAATAACAATATTATTTTATTTTACATAATCATATTTTTTGGAATTACAACGACTTTTGAAGCGAAAACAATTTTCATTCAGCAACTTCTGGCTGTCCCTAAACAGTCCTTTTAATATTATTTTTGATAATATCCTATTGCGACAAGGGTTACTTTTAATTTTTTTCACTAGTCCAAATGAATATGAAATATTACTTAGTCTAACAATTTGTATTCTTATTACCTAAACATAATAAGTTGTTTTATCATTACTTTACTAATTTCAATCAATGGCTGTATATATTTAATTTTATTGTTCTTTTTTTTGTATAGTTTATTAACTAATTTAAGGATATGTAATATTCCTATTGTCTATTTTATTACTTTACATATTCTTTAATCAAATCTTGAAATTGAGATCCCTATGATTTTATAATAATGTGGTAGGTTGTTCCATGAACGGATAGCATTTATAAAGAACTGTCGGTTTGAGCATAAAGTTTTATATCTGGGCCATATCAAGTTATTTGTCCTGTGAGAAACGCAAGTTTATCGAACAGATACTTTGGCTCTTTCGATATTATTTTATGAAAGTAAGTAAGAGTCCTATAAGTAATCTACGAAGTCAAGTTAAATATTAGTAATACTAATTTTTATTACCCCCATTTAGATTCAAATAGAAGATCATTTCATGCTCATGATCATATTAATTGTTGATTCGCTTCAATATAATACATAGTTTTTTGTCAATCGTGTCCATAGCATAAGTAAAACTGCAAAAATTGGAAGCTGAGAAAAATACGTTTAACGCCACAGTAGCGCCTTTTCTCATTCAGCTTTGCAAAAATCCTATCTTTTGAACCAAATAAGGTAATCAAATAATTTAAACGGCATTGGACATGTAACTGTTTTAAAATATATATATATAATGCATAATGTACTACGCCCACAAAATCGCCTTTTTAAAGGGTATTAAAGTGAAAAAATAATTTTTTTTCATTGAAAACAATTTTTTTTAAATATATTTTTTATTTAATTTTTTATTTTTATGAGTAGATTCGGTTTATGTCGTTGCATTTTCACAGACGCAGCTCGACGCAGCCGATGAAAGGTAATTCTGGTTCAGGAAAGATCCACGTAACTTATAGACATAGTGAAGTCGGTGGCTTTCATCGGCTTCAGAAGGTATAGATTACTTTAGGCAGAAAAAGGTGAAAAAATGGACACCTGGCAGGTAGCGATTTACCTGTTCAAGCCCAAACCAAACCGTATTTTTAGGTTCATTAACAGTTTATGAATGTATCTATCATTTAAAGTAAAAACCATGAGCATTGGTTTTATGGTTTTTGTGTAATATTATCTGAAAGTTGACCAATTTACCCATTTTTTTTTGGTATGATGCAAAAAACGAATAAAAGTTCAACTTTGAATGCTCATATCTTCTACAAAAAAATCGTAAAATATATTTTATTGCAGATTCTGAATCCTTGGGAAATTTACTGTCAATAAGTATGGTTAAAATCGTTTTTGCGAACATGACTTTTTCGATTTTTGCAACGCTAATTGTTCGAGAGGCGCTACTGTGCAACGTCCGTTAAACAGAATCCAAACTCAAACAAGAAAGGAAGCTTACTTCGGCACACCGAAGTTTTTATACCCTTGCAGATTGGTTTTGATATTTATATTAAAAATTTAAATGTTGAAAACACACACTAAACAGAGTTTCATTACATTTTACCTATACTTATTATGTTTACAGTTTGACAGTTACAGTTTTACATTCACAGCTTTACATTTTCTCCACATCTACCGATCGCTCCTATGGTAGCTATATGATATAGTTTTCCGATTTTTATGAAATTTATATCAAAATTCTAAGATAATAAAAAGCTTATATCTCAGAGTAGATGAAAATAGGTTGAACAACGACGGAGTTATAATTTTTTTCTATTAATTTCCCGATCGTTCCTATGGCAGCTATAAGATATAGTCGTCCGATTTTCATGAAATTTTTACTGAAATTCTGAAATAATATAAATTAGCCATATCTTAAAAATGGTGCAAAAATGTTGAAAAAAAGCCAAGTTTTATTTTTTTTTCTAAAAATTTATCGAACATTTGTATGGCAGCTATATGATATCGTCGTCCGATCCAGCCCGTTCCGACAAATGTAGCAGTGAGAGTATATAGAAGACTATATGCAAAGTTTCATTCGGATAGCTTTAAAACTGAGGGACTAGCTTGCGTAGAAACGGACAGACGGACGGACGGACAGACGGACGGACAGACAGACATGGCTAGATCGACTCGGCTGATGATGCTGATCAAGAATATATATACTTTATAGGGTCGGAAAGGTCTCCTTCACTGCGTTGCAAACTTCAGTGAAATGCATCTTAAGGGGGGTAAGGTTAATTCGGTGCAAAAATGCCCTTTTTTCAAAAAAACGAAATGGCTAAAGTTAGCTTAACGAATTAAATACCATAAAATAACACAACATTTAAACAGTTTTTGATAATTTTTGTATTAATTAACATTTAGAGGTAGAGGAGTTATATGGAATCTCCCGAGTCGCCTCCAAAAAAAGTTGGTTTGCGGTGTACATCCTAACTGTCCACAAAATCATCCGATCTACACAAATTATACCTTATTTGATAAAGGATAAGTGTCCCGAGGTATTCACGAAGCGTTTTTATTTTTAAAATTTTTTCCCGATTTTTTATTAAAATTTGAAGTCAAAACCACGATTTTTGACTCAAAAAATTAGTTAATTTGTTAAATAAAAAATATAATAAAATTAATAATTAAAAAAAGCTCGACGTGAGTACCTGTAGAATTACCTAAAGAAGCTATGTTCCAAATTTCAAACCGATTGGTCTAGTAGATTTTGAGTTATCGTGTACACCGATTTTCAAAATGGCATTTTTCAGGAGAGCGCTTTAAGGGGGGATATATGTACATGTAAACCAAATTTTTTTGGCAATTTTTTTTTTTTGGTTTAAAAAATGGTTATTACTTAAAGAATATACTGTGTAAATTTCATTATCGAATTCCAACTTTAGGTGCCTCAAATCAAGTATGCACGGAAGGTTCACTAGTGTTAACGTGGGCGCATCAAAAACTTTAATCGTCATTTTCTCAACTTCTAATTTTGGCATTTCTACCTATGCTATGGACACGATTCACAAAAAACTACGTAACATATCGGAGTGAATCAAAAATTATTATGATCAGCATGAAATTATCTTCTATTTGAACCTAAATGGTTGTTATAAAACTTAGTATTACTATTTTTTAAGAGGGTGGGAAGTTAAAACTTATCACCTGAAAATGGCATTTTTTCCTTCAAATCAAAATTTATTTTTTTTGTCTTGATTTCTTTTTGGTTTTTTAGGTTCAAATAGAAGATAAAGGTGTAATGAATACAAAAAAATTTAGTTTACGGATTTCGGACAGGAATTACGAGCTCTATCGTGTCCATAGCACGGCAACTCAAAGCTCGTGGCGCTACGGCATATGTTCCATAAGTCCGCCATTTTGTAAAATATTGTTTATAACTAATTTTTTTTATCATCTCTGATTATACTTTTAACTATATCCAAAGTTTCACGACGATTGCTTGACTATTTCTTATAAAAAAAAATTTACGTAAAATGGCCAAATTTTGACCGCTTACATGTATATCCCCCCTTAAACTGAGATTCTCATGCATTGAACACCAACCGACCTTCGTTCAACTCCACATAACTTCGTCAATTTTACTATGATCGATGTAAAACTTGGACACAATATTCTTAAGATGTTAAACTTTCAAAATAAAAAATAAAAAAAAATTTTCGAAAAAAAATTTAATACCTTACCCTTAATACCCTTAAAGAAAGAAATTACTTATTGTGCAAATGCTCTATTAAATCGGACAATTGCAGAACGTTAAAATTAAAGCAATAAACAAATTCAGAAAATATAATTTGTCAGACTATTAAAAACAACTATTAGAAATAAAAGAACGAAGTTTCAAAATAATAAGAATATTTTAAATTTAGAAAAAATTAGTAACGATACTTTCTGAAATGCTCTCCTGAATCTTGGAGAACCAGAATGTAAGCTCATTAACAATAAAAAATACCCAATTTCAAAGATGCTGCCAGGCACCATACTGCATACTCCATAACAATGAAACTGAATAGGGTCCTTTACCATACAATACCGTAACTTAACATTAACTATCGGCGAAATCGCGTACAAGTCTAGAGTCAACGTTATAGTCTGCAGAGATTAGAACTGGGGATCCTCGATGAGCGTGATGGACGATTTTCTGTATTTTATACCTAACTGTATATGGTAGTCGTTTAAAACTAAGCCCTGGTGCCAAGTCTCAACGCCATCTATGATAGGTGGCCTGGGAGCTTCCCGCAACTCCATATGGCTGCACCGCGGGCAGCAATCTGTTGCAATACTCCTTTTGCTTTTGCGTTGTAGGGTTCGCTCAATATAGCAATGTCGATGTTCTGCTCGATGGCCATCTGAATATATCTTTTGTTGCTCTGCAGTGGTTAAATTTAAGGCTTTGAAGGCCTTCTGGCATGTGTTGTTTGTGACCCTTCATCTAAAGCCGGACTTCTGAGTGGCGAAGTGTGCCGGAATCCCATGCATTTGTAGCACTGCCTCTGATGCGACAGACAACCCATTCGATCCGAATTTTGCCCTTCTCAAGCAACCTCCGCATATGCCCAGGTCTGAGGTTTGTTTGCGTTCCGCGGAACGCTTTCCGTATCCTGAGTGCAGCGCCGCTAGGGGTGTCACAACCCTCTCCCGTAAATAGGGCCAGGGTGGCCTCCTCCCCATTGGTAATTTCGGATCTCCACTTGGAACATCTCTTGAATAACAGCCACATCCGCTTTACCGATAATTGCCTTTAAGAACACCCTTAGGTGCCGGGTAGATGGGTCCAGGGACTTTGTGTATCCTTAGAAAAAGTCCGCCATTGGCTGGCTTTCGTTGACCTTG